ATTTTACTTGTCCCGGAGCAACCCTTTCGCACAAAATGAGGTTCGATCGTCGAAAACTGAAGTAAAATTGCGGTTTCACTTGTCCTGGAGCAACTCTTTCGCACGAAATGAGGGCCGATCGGCAAAAACTGCGGTAAAATTGCGATTTTACTTGTCCCCGAGCACCCCTTTCGCACGAAATGAGGGTCGATCGGCGAAAACTGAGGTAAAATTGCGATTTTACGTGTCTGTGTGTAAAAGCGTCCGTGTGTAAACGTGTTAGTGTGCAAAAGCGTTTGTGTGTAAAAGCTTTTGTGTGTATAAGCGTCTGTGTGTAAACGCGTCTGTGTGTGTAAAAGCGTCTGTGTGTAAAAGTGATTGTGTGTAAAACGTCTGTGTGTGTAAAAGCGTCTGTGTGTAAAAGTGATTGTGTGTAAAAGCTTCTGTGTGTAAAAGCGTCTGTGTGTAAAAGCGTCTGTGTGTAAAAGCTTTTGTGTGTAACTGTGTGTAAAAGCGTCTGTGTGTAAAAGGGTCTGTGTGCAAAAGCGTCTGTGTGTAAAAGCGTTAGTGTGTAAACGCGTCTGTGTGTAAAAGCTTTTGTGTGTAAAAGCTTTTGTGTGTAAAAGTGTCTGTGTGTAAAAGTGATTGTGTGTAAAAGCGTCTGTGTGTAAAAGCTTTTGTGTGTAAAAGCGTCTGTGTGTAAAAGCTTTTGTGTGTAAAAGGGTCTGTGTGTAAACGCGTCTGTGTGTAAAAGCCTCTGTGTGTAAGAGTGTCTGTGTGTCGAAGTCTTTGTGTGTAAAGGCGTCTGTGTGTAAAAGCGTCTGTGTGTAAAAGCGTCTGTGTGTAAAAGCTTTTGTGTGTAAAAGAGTCTGTGTGTAAAAGTGTCTGTGTGTAAAAGTGATTGTGTGTAAAAGCGTCTGTGTGTAAAAGCTTTTGTGTGTACAAGCGTCTGTGTGTAAAAGCTTTTGTGTGTAAAAGGGTCTGTGTGTAAACGCGTCTGTGTGTAAAAGCGTCTGCGTGTAAGAGTGTCTGTGTGTCAAAGTGTTTGTGTGTAAAGGCGTCCGTGTGTAAAAGCGTCTGTGTGTGAAAGCGTCTGTGTGTGTGCAAGCGTCTGTGTAAAAGCTTCTGTCTGTAAAGCTTCTGTGGGTAAAAGCTTTGTGTGTAAAAGCGTCTGTGTAAAAGCAATAGTGTGTAAAAGCGTCTGTGTAAAAGCAATAGTGTGTAAAAGCGTCTGTGTGCAAAACTGTCTGTATGTAAAAGCGCCTGTGTGTAAAAGTGTCTGTGTGTAAAAGTGCCTTGATCTTCTTTTGCGCAGACACGTTCGTGTGCATGTTTGCTTGACATGTGCATTGTTTGGCATGTTTATTTTCCGGTCATCCGTGTCATTTTCAGGTCTTGCTGGCAAGTTTTAAGCAATCGTGACTTGTTTGCTTGGCATGTTTAGTAGGCATGTTTAATTTTACCCCCAAAGTTATATCAATGGATTAATGAGGATACATTGGGATTCACTGATTTTGGGGTTGTGGAGTTTGTGGGCAACACTTTAGCATCACATTTCTTTGCTCAGGTTGGCATGGATATTTTTGGTTTGCTACCCGAACTGTCCGAGCAGACATAACTGTAAGCATTTCCAGAGCTTCTTTTCGTGGCTGTGCTGCTTGTCTTCGGAGATTCTGGAGGCCTGCTGCATGTTGTCATCAATGCGTGGCAGTCATTCGATGTTTTGCAGCTAGTTTTTGGTTGCCCGTCTTCGGAGTGAGATATATAGAGCAAGTCTATTTGCATAATAGTATGATCTTGGAACTTTCAACTGCAAGCTTGCGTTCCGTTTGTTCGTCACAGCATGAAGCTGGTCAGCGCAGCTTTTGGTTCGAGATTTGTATCTCGCTTGGCGGCATGTTTAGTAGGCATGCTTAATTTTACCCCCAAAGTGATATGATCAATGGATTAATGAGGTTACATTGGGATTCACTGATTTTGGGGTTGTGGAGTTTGTGAGTAACACTTTAGCATCACATTTCTTTGCTCAGGTTGGCATGGATACTTTTGGTTTGCTACCCGAACTGTCCGAGCAGACATAACTGTAAGCATTTCCAGAGCTTCTTTTCGTAGCTGTGCTGCTTGTCTTCGGAGATTCTGGAGGCCTGCTGCATGTTGTCATCAGTGCGTGGCAGTCATTCGATGTTTTGCAGCTAGTTTTTGGTTGCCCGTCTTCGGAGTGAGATATATAGAGGAAGTCTATTTGCATAATAGTATGATCTTGGAACTTTCAACTGCAAGCTTGCGTTCCGTTTGTTCGTCACAGCATGAAGCTGGTCAGCGCAGCTTTTGGTTCGAGATTTGTATCTCGCTTGGCGGCATGTTTAGTAGGCATGCTTAATTTTACCCCCAAAGTGATATGATCAATGGATTAATGAGGTTCCACTGGGATTCACTGAATTTGGGGTTGTGGAGTTTGTAAGTAACACTTTAGCATCACATTTCTTTGCTCAGGTTGGCATGGATACTTTTGGTTTGCTACCCGCACTGTCCGAGCAGACATAACTGTAAGCATTTCCAGAGCTTCTTTTCGTAGCTGTGCTGCTTGTCTTCGGAGATTCTGGAGGCCTGCTGCATGTTGTCATCAGTGCGTGGCAGTCATTCGATGTTTTGCAGCTAGTTTTTGGTTGCCCGTCTTCGGAGTGAGATATATAGAGGAAGTCTATTTGCATAATAGTATGATCTTGGAACTTTCACCTGCAGCTTGCGTTCCGTTTGTTCGTCAAAGCATGAAGCTGGTCAGCGCAGCTTTTGGTTCGAGATTCGTATCTCGCTTGGCCTTTATAAGTTGTTTCTCTTGGTTCGTTTCAACCGGAAATGTCCGAGAAGCTCCGAGAGTTGCAACAAGGCTTGAAAGAGGGGGGAGTTGATCCCTTCCGGCGCCAGGTGCGCAAACTCGGGATCAATCCATTCAAGGCTTTAGCCGGTTTCTTTGGGTAGCATCACAGAAGGTGTTAGTTTGGATTGAGTGGTTGCAGTTGTGTGGATAGTTGTTTTTGGGGGATGCTCTGACAGTTCTTGAATGCTTTGCAGATCCGCATGGTTGGTCTATGCAGCTAGGTTTGCATCGAGTCAGGGCCCCGGGGTGGGATGGATGACTTGGATAGGCTGCTACCACAAAGAGACAAATCGATATATTATATATTGAGATAGAAATGGAGATATGAGATAGAGATGGATGTATGACTGTTAATATATAGAGATGGATGTATGAGTGTTAGGATAAGAGTTTCAATTCAAGTCACGGTCAGGAGTCAGGACCCTAAACCCAAAAAGAACATGGAAAGGAGCACAAGGGCCATCCCATTATATCATATTGTAATACTGTGCTTGTCCCAGCCAGAAACGTTCGCCGCCTGCCAGGTCCGCCCGTTTGTGCGCATGAGTCAACCAGAACTGTCTGAGACTTGTTGATGCACGCATCTTTGCTTGAGACATTCAGTTTCACCATAGTGCATCCTGTCTCACCATAGTGCATCGGCGTAAGTCAAACAGAACGGTCTGAGACTCATCGAAGATCAATAAAGCTGCCAATTCCTTTTGCGCATATTGTTTTGCCGGGACATCACTGAATGTGATCGGTCACAGTCATTACTCATAGTCCTTGAATGCTTTGCAGATCCGCATGGTTGGTCTATGCAGCTAGGTTTTCATCGAGTCAGGGCCCCGGGATGGGATGGATTACATGGATAGGCTGCTACCACAAAGAGACAAATCGATATATTATGTATTGAGATAGAAATAGAGATATGAGATAGAGATGGATGTATGAGTGTTAATATATATAGAGATGGATGTATGAGTGTTAAGATAAGAGTTTCAATTCAAGTCACAGTCAGGAGTCAGGACCCTAAACCCAAAAAGAACATGGAAAGGAGCACAAGGGCCATCCCATCATTATATCATATTGTAATACTGTGCTTGTCCCAGCCCAGAAACGTTCGCCGCCTGCCAGGTCCGCCCGTTTATACTTTTTTTGGGGAGATGGCAAACCACCTTGGTTGGGGGGGCCCAAAGCACACAGCCCTCATGACATGTTTATACATGCTGGTTTCTGTTGAACCAGAATCACAGATCAAGAAAACCAACAACAATCAACAAGACCGTGCAGGGGATACAAGGTAAAAGCAAGCAAAGCAAAAGCAAATGTTTCCTGCATGCGAGCGAGCCGTCGACAGCTGAGGTCCCAGCGAAATCAAATGGATACATGAAAAAGGGCAAGCATTGTTCAATGAAATCAACACAGGGGTAAAGAAGTGTTGGCCTTTTTCATACGTGCGTTTCTGCGTTCTCTTTGTCCCCTTCTAATGTTTGCCCTCTTCTGTTCTTCCTGCAAATCGTTTTCTGTACTGACCAAGCAAATTTTGCCAGATCTTTTCCACTCTGTAATCAATTCAAAGTCCATTTCTTTCGTGAGTGGATCTGCTATTTGTTTGAAAGTTGGAGTCCAAAACAGCTCTAAAAGACCATCCTGAATAGCCAACTTGACTGAAAGAATATCTAAGGCAGTCTGACGTTCAGCTGCCATGTGACCAACCTTGTGGCAGTGGTCAAACAAACTTTTGGCGTCCGTTACCAGAGCGCCCTTTGAAATCAAATCCGCTCTCCAATTGGAACCTACTGTCAACTTACCGCTGTACAATGCATCCCAAAGTAAACGAAAGAAAAGTTGATGATCAGCACCGGCTGTCATGGCACACCCCTCAGCGGCCAATGAACTTTTCACCACTCGGCTGATCTTGTTGCTATGGTACTCGACGATATTGGCTTTCGATGGCTCCACTTTTGCTTTCTCGCTTGTGAGAAAATGAATTTCACCTAACTGTGCGGACTGCATGGTGCTCTTTCCTAATGAGGCATCAAAGAAGGTGATGAACATGGGATCATCAGGAATCCTGTGATATGTGATCTTGGCTTGGCCATTTCCAGCTATGAGTTTCATTTGCTCCAGAACACTGTTTGCTTTCTTCAGATCTGCATACGTGGCTCTCGTAGTTCTTTGCGCTAGAAGACTGATAGTGCTCATGAGCTCCGGAACAACATGCTGTGCAGGCCATCTCATTTGCATCACGAGTCTCCGATATCTCGTGACATCATTCTCACTCAATTTTTCCTCCATTTTGATACCCTTGATCTCTGCTGACTGAATTTTATTGATGTATTCAGTCATGTCATCTATGATGATGCCTCTTTCTTCGTCGTACGTCACAGTCATGCCGAGATAACTCACCGGCCTTTTGCCAAGCTTTTGCCACTCCTTGATGTTGAAATCAGCGTCGATGGCCTTTAGCAGACGCTGGAATTCTGGATCTCCATGGTCACCTGCTATGAAGCCATCATCTACGTGCATGCAGCAAACTGCTACAACAGCTCCAGACTGATTCAATAACACATAGGTGGAACGGCAAAACTTGAGCTCTTGCATGTTGGCTTTTTCCAAAAGTTCGGAGGCTCTCAAGTACCACAATCGTGGTGCTTCAGCCAGTCCATATGCTCCTTTGATCACTCGTAGTAATTCGTGAGGACGAATCTTGGACATTCCTTCTACTTCTGGTAAGCCTTCTGGTGGTGCTCTCACATGTACTGTTCTCTCTGTCTTATTTCCACTGAGGAAGGCCGTAGCAACATCGAAAATCCACGCTGACCACTTTTTGCAGACGATCAGGGTTTTCAAGAGTCGCACAGCGCATGGCATGGTGGTTGGGCTATCTGTTCTGTAGCCCCCGAGCTCCGGGTCTAAATGCCCCGGAATCACAAGCCTGCTCTTCGGCTTGAGGTCTGTGTCATCCTTGCCCTTGTTGACCCTGACCATTCTAAGAGGGGCCTTGAAGATCTGATTCTTTGGAACTTTTGCAGCCTCTTTGGCAGTGAGTCTTTGGAGCACTGAGTTCTTTACCCAGGACTCCCATTCCTTCTTATCACTCTCTCTGAAAGCAGCCTTTTCTGCCTCGTCAAAGAACCTGGGATCCAACTCCTTACCTGATGCCTTCATCTTCAAAAGAAGTGCCTCTGCCGCAACCTTCATCTCCTCCTCTCTTCTGACAAAGGCTTGCCAGAGGGCTGAATCCTCATAGGGAGTGGCGAACACCTCATCGCCAATCTGTATGTATGCCTGTTTTTCTTTCTTCTCTTCTTCTTTTTCTCTTCCTGTCTTCAGGAAAAGTGTCATTCCTCTCCAGCTCATGGGGGTTTTTGTCTTCTTATTTTTCTCTGTCTTTTCTTGATTCTCGGTGAGAACCATCGCTTCCCCTTGTTGCTCGAGAAGCATGACTGTCACACGTGATCTTCTCTTTCCGGCTGGCGGTGGATGTAGCCTCTTTCTAGGCTGTCGATGTATCCTCACGGCTGAAATTGGCAAATCCAGCAATCTAGCCAACTCTGCTACCTCCTCTCTTTTCATCCATTCATTCTTCCGCCAGCCTGGTCTCTCTTGTATCTGCTGTTGTGCCTTCTTTGCCATCATTTCTTGAATCTCTTCCTCCATGACCACGTTCTGGACATACGTAAAGACCCCCTGAGTCAACCTCTGTTGTACCTGCTGCTCATCTACTTCTCCTACTCTTCTCCTCTTCATGCACTCAGGTACATCATCTAGCAGGGTCTTTCTCTGTTCTGTAATCCGTCGGATTCTCTTCTCATCTTCTCTGGCATATCTTTCTTCAGCCTCGTGAATGCCTTTCCACACTTCTTCTTCTTCTTTTGTCTCTGCTTCGGCTGGTGTCTCTTCTTGCTCCTCTCGTGCTGGCTCTACAGCCTTTCTTCTTTTCCTGTATTCTCGTCTTAACCTGGGTTCCTCAAGTGCTTTCCTGACTGTCTTCAGGCCTCTCATCATGGCCTTTGCTCTTTCCTTGGTGCTTCCTGTGTCTGACCTCCTCAAAACCTCTCCTTCTGTCTTCCATTTCTCTCCATCCCCTTCCTCATCAGGGGGCTCTGCCTTCTGAATCTCCTCTATTGTCTTCTGTGTCTGCATCTGCTCATCAAACTGTCTCACCTCTTCTTCTTTAGCCGCCACATCTTCGGCTTCTTCTACCGTTCCTGGTCGGAGATTTGTGGCTGCTACCAGCAAGCATCTTCCTCTCCAGGATATGAAGTACTTCTGTTGTCCTTCTCGTGCTATTACCAACGCAGGCCCTCTCCAAACTCCTGCGTCCTTTCGGTAACGTACTCTCTTGGCACCTGGGACCCAGAAGTACACCTTCTCACCTGGCAAATATTCTCTCACCTGATTGCCAGGTTTTCTTTGTATTGCCTGTTTCAGTTTTTGCTGTGCATCTTGATGCAAGAGTGCTCTCTTGGCTGCTGCTCTCATCTCTGCCTGCTTTGCTACTTGTGTGTCTAGGCTCAGTGCTTGGCCTAGTGTTGTGTTGTCTATGGCGTCATCATCCAGCAAATCTGGAAAATTGGAGTTTCTTCCATAGACCAGGGTCTCTGCTGAGTACCCTCGCCGTGTCACCGTCTGGTTTTTCGCCTGTATGGCGCACAGGAGGGTTGTCTTCATCCCTTTCCTGTCGGTGACTTGGTGTTCCACAATCAAAGCGTTCCAAGCAACGCCGAGTATTGCCCCGTGTCGTTCGGCAAATGAGTTCTGCCATGGGGCATACGCCCCTGAAACCTTGGACAGTACCCCATGTTCTTCCAGAACGCTGATGAATTCTGTTTCAAACTCTCCTCCTTGATCTAAGACAATCTCCCTTGGCGTTCCGTACATGGAGAACCATCTTAGAAGCATGTGTTCAGCTACATGCCTGGGGTCTCTTGTCTTCAGTAGGGCTGCTTGATGGTAGTTTGTTGCTGCGTCTACCATTGAGAGAGCTACATACAATTGTTTCTTCACATCCTTTGCATATTTGAGATCCACATGCAGGGATTCATTGAAGACTGTCGGTCTCAAATCAGACCTCTGTGGTCTTGGTCGTGATGGGGGTTGCATCTTGTCGCATGTTGGACATTGGAACTTCTCCAACGTGTCAACCACCCTCTTGGGTACACCCGCCAGCTTCATCATCCTCCTCAATGCTTCCTTTGACGGGTGTCCCATCCTGCTGTGAATTCTCCTGATTTTCTCTAAGTCTTCTCTTCTTGCCTCTCCGGCATCTTCTGCCATCTGTTCTCTGGCCCGAATCCGGGCCTCTTGACGTCTCCTTCTATCATCTTCAGGTGCTTCTTCTCTCTTTGGCACTGCCTCTTCCTGGTCTGTTTCTTCTTCCTCTCTGGGTTCTGTCTCCTGTGTCTCTCCTTGTTCTTGTTCTTGTCTTGGCGACCGAAACTCCTCTTCTATATCGGCGCCGTCCCAGTCATCTACTGCTACAAACCTTTCTTCGGGCAGATGCTCTGATGTGGCCCACCTTGCATATCTTCTTGTCCCTCTCAGGTATTCTTCTGCACCTTCTACCACCCGAGTGGCAAATTGTCGTGTATATCCTCCTGCATAGGCGGCAATGCTTTGCCACCTTCCATCAATCTTCACTGCTCCCATGCATGGTGCGTGCTGCTGCTTGCAGTTGCATGTTTTGGCACATCTCCTCATTATCTCTGGAGTGCCGGCTAGGCGTGTAGGCTTCCTCACTGGGCATCCATTGTCGGGTCTTCGGAGCCCGTGAGCGCACATGTCTGTGTCTACATGGGGCAGTCCTTCAAATGCATCTTGAATGGGCGGTTCTTTCCAAGCCTTTGAACGCTTTGGATTCTCGCCCATAACCGCTCCTCCTCGGGCTCTTTGTTTCTGAGCGGCTTCTTTCACAAAGTCCAAAAGCGGTCTTTCTTCTTGCCTCAGTGCACCCAGTATCTCCTTCTCTTCCGTGGTCTTGTAGTTGAGTGCTTGTATTGGGCTCCACAGCCTGCATGGCCATGCTATGACCAAAAGGTCTGGTGCTGCTTCATCGATGTATCGATGTGCTTGCTCTCGTTGTGCTGGATCAAGTAGATCCCAGTGTGGGAGCGTGACTGGCTCCAGCATTTGCCATCCTCTTTTTACTGCTACCATTGAAACCATACAAGACCACGTGAAGACTTCTAAGACCCGCCATGGTCCACCTTTCCTGACTGGGGCCTTCGGCTTTGCCGCATCTTTCTTCTTATCCTTCTTCTTTCCTTTCTTTTCTACCTGCAATACATCTCGAAGCACTGTTGTGTTGTGGCCTAAAGCCCTCTTCTCGTGCTTACTCATCTGCTTCTGATGATACACCTGTTCTTCCATCAGCTCTTCTTCATCTGTATCTTCATCAGTCTCCCATGGCTCTATTCCAAACTCATGGGAAGTGACAGTTCCATCTGAGCTGACGCCGGAGCTCTCTTCCTCTTCTGATTCCTCGAGGTTCAGAGTCTTGCCCGGTAAACTGTGCAGGTGTTCATCCAGCTTTGCCATCCACTTTCTCATCATCCTTTTCCTGGTGCCCATGTCTTCATCATCCTCTTCTTCTTCCACCTCCGTGTCCGTGCTGGCCTCCTCATCATCTGTGTGCTTGTGTTCCTCGGCCACGAAAGCCCAGGCGTGTGGTTTGGACTTTAGGGTCCTGAGTTGGCTCTGGATGGATGCATCCGTCCAGAATTGTGCTCCTTCTGTACCTGGTTGGTACTCCATCAGGTCGATGGCCGGATGTCGGGTGTATGTGAGCTTCATGGGCCTGACTTCCCTTTGAGTTCCAGAGTCCGGTCTTGGAACCGGGCAACCGCTCCCCATCTTGAGAGCTCACTTGGCCCCACCAGTCCAGGGCAGTGGAGGGCACCGCCTCCCACACATGACATCCTGACAAGATCGTTCTTGCCGTATATGCCTACTGGGTAGATGTATGCTGTGTTGCTTGTTTCAGGGTCACCAGACCCGAATCTGAATGTCTCAGATTCCTTCTCCTCATGCCAGGTCATTCCTTTCCTCTTGAGCTCCTCTTGCATTGCTGTGTGCCAGGCTTGCCCAGCAACTGCACACCTGCAGCCGCTGTCTGCTATGGCCTCACCAGAGTTTCCGGTGATAAATGCTTCGTGCTCTGTGCTCAGAGTCACTGCTGGTTGTTGTGCTGATGCTTCGTGCTCTTTGCTCAGAGTCACTGCTGGTTGTTGTGCTGTAGCTTTGTGCTCTTTGCTCAGAGTCACTGCTGGTTGTTGTGCTGTAGCTTCGTGCTCTTTGCTCAGAGTCACTGCTGGTTGTTGTGCTGTAGTTGCTACCAGTGCGCCATGTCGCTCACTGAAGTAGATGACATGCCGTAGGTCGCATGCCTTGCACCTGCCATAGTGGCCATCCGCATTGGCACTCCAACGGATGGACTCAAAGGGGTGGTGACACCTGGCTTGTGCTGTTGTGGGTGTTGGTGCACATGTGGATGGAACGAGGCGGTCCCCCTGGAGCTGGTCTTCATACAGTCCCCTCCGGAACTTGTCCAACTGTCTTGTCTTCACCGCCTTCGGCAACTCTTCCTTTTTAGATCTTGCCTTCGGCCTTATCGGTGCTTGCTCGTCAGGCTGATAGCCACTTCCTGATGCTCCTGAAGGTCTTCCTCTTTCATCCACGCCTATGCCGTCAACCTCTCGATACCGGCTATAGGTCCTCCATGCCCGATCCTCTTCACCTTCTTGTAGTTGTCTTCTGAGCTCCTTCTTCTCGGAGCGTGACATGTTGGGTAGAGCCGCCAAGACTTCTTCAGGCTTCAGTTTCACCTTAGACCTTCCGTCTTCTGGTTTCGGTGTGGTGCGCAGCATCTCTTTCAGCTGGCTTCTGCTGATCTCATACCTGAACTCTGGAGGCTGTTCCTCATCTCCTGATGACAGAACCTCCAGAATACCTGCTGAGCTACCCTGATCTGCCTCTTCGTCTTCCTTGATGACCTCCCAACCTCTCTTCTCTCTCATGCTCAGGTCTCCTGCGACTCTCATGCCACAGGCTGGGCAAAACCTGTCTTGTGTCCTCAACCTGCCTCGGCAATCTGGGTTAGTGCATCTTCCTGGCTCCTCTTGTGTGGTGGTCTTCTCCTCTTCTACCTCAGTCTTCACCTTCTTTGTCGTTGTCACCACATACGTGAAGTGCACTGCCCCTCCTCCGTCACCTGAGCCCGAACCTTCTTTCTTCTTATGAGGCTTGTCTTTGCCTGTCTGGACGTTCTTACATTGGGGATCTCCTCTCCAATGCCCTCTCTCTCCGCATGACGAGCAGGTGGAGTTGATCTTCCTCTTGTCTGGTGAGATGGAATTCCCAGTGCCTCCTGTGGAGCTTCTGTTTGTTGTCTTCCATCCTCGGTATTTCTTCTTCTCATTCTGTTGGCTTTTAGCCCTCCATCCTGCTGCACATGCTTCCTTCAAATCATCATCCTGAAAGCTCTCTTCATCTTCCTCGTCTTCATCTACGTCTTCTTCACGGATCTCCATCAGGACCTCTTGCGTGTCGCCTGTGTCATTTATGTGCTCCCGATAGGGATCCTCTTCTGCCTCCAAATCTTCCTCTGCCTCCTCTTCTTCTTCTGCGTCTTTGTCCTCATAGAAGGTCTTCTTCTCTGGCCTCTTGTTCTTTGTCGCGCCCCTGCTGTGCTGTTGTGACCTCTTGTAGTATGGCTTAGCTCCTGGAGTTCTGGAAAAGCCATAGCTGGGAAGCTTTCTCTCTTCCTCATGGATTCGGCCGCATCGATGTCGTAGTGCAGTCTCAATTGATTGTGACGTGTAGCGCCCTCCAGCTGAGAAAAAGACGTCAAGCCTCTCTCGGCGTGACAAGGATGCTCGGTTGAGCATCCTTTGAGACCATGCTCTGTCTGACATTGTGCTCTCTGGGTCCACCCTCATGTACTGAGCCTTCAGCCTCTTCAGCTGGCCCAGAAAGGTGGAAATGCTCTGGCCAGGAAGCCTCCGGTATGTTGCAAACTCTTGCTCTGCTCGTTCAAACAACTCCTCCTCTGATTCGCCAAACGCCTCATCCAGCAAATGCCAGATGAGTCTCACTCCTCCAGGGCGAGTATATTCTTGGATGGGCTTTTGATCCAAGACATCTCTGGCATCCTTCTTTGTGCTGAGATAGATCAGCATGCTGAGTTCTTCTGGTTCCAGGCGGTACAAAACCTCTTGCGCTTGTACCGCCTTCTTCCACTTGAGGTACTTGTGTCGATCGCCATAGAACTCCTCAATCTTGACTGATCCTAGCGAGGATCTTGGACGGTCTTGAGTGACCTTCGCCTGTCTCCTCAGCATGCTTCTCAACTCAGTTGTGGGGGCTGATGAACTGAAACCGGAGCTCTCTTCCGGGTCATCTGACTCATTGGGCTCTTCTGGGGGACCCTCTGGTGGTCCTTGGGGATCTTCTTTTCTCTCCTTCTGTCTGGGGATCTCATCTTGCCTCTTGTCATTCTCTCCTGAGTCTCTACTCTGTCTTCTTCTCCTATCTCCACCTGCATTCCTTCGACCACCTCCAGACGTGCCTTGTGTCTCCTCTTCTTTCTTCACCCTATCTGTTGGAACCTCTGACCACGGTTCCTCAGTCTTTGGTGCTTGTCCTTTGCCTACGCCTTTGAGCCAGGCAAGACTCCTCCACCACCGCAGCTCTTCTGAATCTGACTGACTCAGACTGGGAGCCATTGGTCCCGCAAATGTGCCAAAACCCGTTTGAGGAATGGAGGCACTGAAAACGGGAAAAGGGTGTGTTGGCATTCCAAAAGGTGGCATGAAAGACGTGGGAATGCTATTGTATGAGCTATGAAGATCCTCTTTCTTGAACCCTGGGGGAATCCCATTTGAACTCATGGATTCTTGTAAGCCCGCTGGACTTCCCTTCCCAGGTGTTCCTTCTACCCCGTTGTATGGATGCATATCCACACCTCCTCTCTTCGGTGGCAACGCTGTTGCCTTTTCTGCACCATCTTGCATCGCTTCCTTGGTCATCCAAGGATCTCCCGGCCCCTGCAAGGGATCTGGCTGAGTCTCCTCCGTCGCCATGACCGCAGGTCACTAGCAGAAGCAGCCTATTATTGTGTCCCAAACCAATATAAACACAACAAAGCAGAACCAATCCAAAAAGCGTGAATAAAAACCCGGAGTTAACCCCTCAGGGCCCCGCTACCAATGTTGAACCAGAATCACAGATCAAGAAAACCAACAACAATCAACAAGACCGTGCAGGGGATACAAGGTAAAAGCAAGCAAAGCAAAAGCAAATGTTTCCTGCATGCGAGCGAGCCGTCGACAGCTGAGGTCCCAGCGAAATCAAATGGATACATGAAAAAGGGCAAGCATTGTTCAATGAAATCAACAGTTTCGAGTCACATCATTTCCTTTTTTTCCGGTCCACATGGAAATGGGACTTCGCCACGCCACCCCATCGACACATGCACACACGATATAAGGTATACGTGTCCAGGCTCCTCCTCAGGTCTTATGACTTTAAGCGGAAGTGATGGTGTACCATAGCCTTGCCATCAGCCATGGTACATCTATTGTCACTTCCTCCCAATTGAATCTATGATAACCTTTGGCCTGCAGTGCCAGTAACCCTGGTTCCCTCCCGATCTCTTGTTGTGGGCAGATAGGCCTCTCTGAGGACGGACGGACTTTTCTAAGTAAGGAAAAGCAAAAACTATTTTCTGTTGCTTCTTCAAAGTGATCCGATCCCCTTTGAGATGGTTCATTGACCTTTTTTGGTGTTGATCGAGTGGTTTCAAATTGATGGTTGACGAGGTCATTTTGAAGAAGCAAGTAACTAGCTATTTCCTGGAGAAGAGCATCACGGCGATCACCAAAGTCATCACAGATGTGTGAAGAAAAGGGTGAGCAAGGAGTCTAGAAGCTTTGGGCCTTGGACTGAGAGATCCATTGGCGAGCCTTGACCAGGGAGAGTTCCTCATCGATGCGGTGAGGACACAGTGCCAGCTTCCGAACATTCGCATGGCTAAATGACCAATTCCTGGATGCGATCCGATAACATACGAACCACTACTTCCAGCTGAGCGACTTCGAGGAGGCGACCCAGACTTACTTCTCGCTGGCACGGCGCGCTTGCACGGCGCGGACTTATCATTTTGCAGCACAGTGCCAGTGGACCCGACCATGCTGAATGGCATGCAACAGCTGTGATAGTCTGCGAGCAGTGATCGCTTCAAGGTTTTGCAGGATTATATCGGGACGGACAAAAAAGTTTTAGTTAGGCTCGCCATGACATTACACACTTGGTCACGTATTGTGACGAGATGCATATCATCGAGTCCTAATTAATAGCCTTAGGCCTTAGCTTCAGACTTTGATAATGCGTATATAATTATGGCCTGCTCCTATAATACTTTGAGGGGATAGGACGGTTCCCCCACCCTGGCGGGGGGCCAGGTCGGTTCTTTGCCTGACTCAACACCTTTGTGAGCAGCTTAGTTATTTGATTTTTAACTTTGATTCTTGTATTGCAACCAGAGCTGTCCAAGCAATACTTCTAAAGACTGTACTATATTGAATGCAGGTCCACCAAATACATGGTACGAACTTCACCCCTCCGGCGAATTGCTGAGGTGGCCACGACAACAATGACTTCACTGTGACTGCGTGAACATGGGCCGGCCTGTGTGTAAAAGCGTCTGTGTGTAAAAGCGTCTGTATGTAAAAGTGATTGTGTGTAAAAGCGCTTGTGTGTAAAACCGTTTGTGTGTAAAAGCGTTTGTGTGTCAAAGCTTCTGTGTGTAAAAGCGTCTGCGTGTAAAAGCTTCTGCGTGTAAAAGCGTCTATGTGTAAAAGTGTTTGTGTGTAAAAGTGTTTGTATGTACAAGTGTTTGTCTGTAAAAGTGCCTGTGTGTCAAAGCGTCTATGTGTAAAAGCTTCTGTGTGACTATGTGTAAAAGTTTTTGTGTGTAAAGGCGTCTGCGTGTAAATGCTTCTGTGTGTAAAAGCTCCTGTGTGTAAAAGGCTCTTTGTTAAAAGTGTCTGTGTGTAAAAGATCCCCGACCCCAACTGGTTCAGGAGTAGGGGGGGTGGATCCTACATTTCTGATAATGTATGAACATAAGGGGGGGTTAACCCCCTCACTTTTTGCCAAAAATGTATGGGAACTAGGGGGGGGTAACCTCTCAAAATGAGGCATGTATGAGTGCCAGATGCTGGAAATGTATTATTGGTAGGGGTATTGAACCTGAAAATGTATGCTTTGTGGGGGGCACCACTGACAAGAGCCAATGGATACATAAACTTTTCTAAATGTATGCAAGCTTGGGGGGGTCTGCACCTCAATCCAATTGATCTTTTTTTTTCCTGGGAAACCTACTGAAACTTATGGGGAAACCTGGGAATACCTGGGGTCACCGAAAATATTCTGCGCTGAAGACCCCGTTAGCTTACGCTTTTGGATTTTTTTTGGAAACAAACGCATGCAAACATATGCAAACACGATCAAGGACGCATCGCTCCCACTCCGAAGACATGACACTATTTTCTGAAATGTATGCATTGCAGGGGGTACCAATGACTACCTTAGCCAGATCTATTCCCTCCATTTCCAAAAATGATGTGCTTTTCGGCAACCCAACCCCCTTAGAATACATTTTTCAAAGAAGGGTATTCCCCAGAAAAAAATTAAACATTCCCGGGGATCCTGGAAAAACCAAACCCGTAAAATATATTAAACCACCCCCCCAAAATAAAAGATCCTGGGGGGGGTTGGATATCCCGACCCATGGATCCTACATTTAACGTACACCCACCGGTCAAATAATGTATTTAGGGGGGGTCCTGGGGAATCAAATTCTTGGAGAACGGTAAATGTATTTTTTTTACCTGACCTCTCCCCCCCCTAAAATTACATTTTTAGGGGTGGGTGATTGTAAAAGTGTCTGTGTGTAAAAGTGTCTGTGTGTAAAAGCATCTGTGTAAAAGCGTATGTTTGTAAAAGCTTCTGTGTGTAAAAGCTTCTGCGGGTAAAAGGATTGTGTGTCAAAGTGTCAGTGTAAAAGTGTCTGTGTGTAAAAGCCTCTGTGTGAAAGCGTATGTGTGTAAAAGCTTCTGTATGTAAAAGCTTCTGTGGGTAAAAGCTTTGTGTGTAAAAGTGTCTGTGCGTAAAAGGGTCTGTATGTAAAAGCGTCTGTGTGTAAAAGCTTTTGTGTGTAAAAGTGTTTGCGATGCAAACTATTGTCTTGCACTTCTGCTATTTTGTCTTAATACTCCTCTTCTCGACTGCATATAACACATCTTTAATATATTGTTTCTAATATGGTGTCTCAATACTAACAAGAGAAGACCCTGCTCCTCTACGCTCTCGGGCCATCCGTCGTCAAGTTTTGTGCAAACGTTTGCAGACATTCCAATAGTGAAGTATTGTCACATGTGTGCTGACATTTGACACACTAGTGAATATACTTATGACATTTTAGATACAGACGCTTCTACACACAGACACTTTTACACACAGACACTTTTACCCACAGAAGCTTTTACACACAGACCCTTTTACACACAGACGCTTTTACACACAGACACTTTTACACACAGACCATTTTACACACAGACACTTTTACACACAGACGCTTTTACACGCAGATGCTTTTGCACACAAAAGCTTTTACACACAGAAGCTTTACGCACAGAAGCTTTTACACACAGAGGCTTTTACACACAAACAACTTTACACACAGACGCTTTTACACACATACGCTTTTACATACAGAAGCTTTTACACACAGAGGCTTTTACACTGACACTTTGACACACAATCCTTTTACCCGCAGAAGCTTTTACATACAGAAGCTTTTACATTATCTAAGTTCAAGATAGGTGCTTGATATCCAGTTATAAGATAGGTACGCTACGCTTGGTGCGCTTGGTGCGCTTGGTACGCTTGGTACGCTTTGGGTAGGTACGCTTGGTACGCTTAGTAAAGTACGTTTGGTACGCTTACCAACCGTACCGACCGTACCAGTGAACCGTACATAAAAAACGCCCCCCCCTTGACCCCCCCCTTAATCTGGTACGGTACGGTGGTACGGTTATGTACGGTTCACTGGTACGGTCGGTGCGGTCGGTATGCGTACCAAACGTACCTTACTAAGCGTACCAACCGTACCAACCGTACCAACCGTACCGTACCACATGTACCAACCGTACCGTACCAAGAAAACCAAACCTACCAGCCGTACGTACCAGACATGTTTGGATCTTACTGAAGGCCTCTACCACCTATCTTGAACCTAGCTAACTTTTACAAACATACGCTTTTACACAGATGCTTTTACACACAGACACTTTTACATACAGACCCTTTTACACACAGACGCTTTTACACACAGACGCTTTTACACACAGACGCTTTTACACACAGACCATTTTACACACAGACACTTTTACACACAGACGCTTTTACACGCAGATGCTTTTACACACAGAAGCCTTTACGCACAAAAGCTTTTACACACAGAGGCTTTTACACACAGACGACTTTACACACAGACGCTTTTACACACAGACGCTTTTACATACAGAAGCTTTTACACACAGAGGCCTTTAAACACAGAAGCTTTTACACACAGAAGTTTTTACCCCCAGACGCTTTTACACACAGAAGCTTTGACACACAGACGCTTTTACACATAGACGCCTTTACACACAGACGCTTTTACACACAGACCCTTTTACACACAGACGCTTTTACACACAGACACTTTTACAGTTACACACAGACGCTTTTACACGCAGATGCTTTTACACACACACACACTTTCTCACACACACAGAGGCTTTTACACACAGGCGCTTTTACACACAGAGACTTTTACACACAGAGGCTGTTACAGACAGACGCTTTTACACACAGACGCTTTTACACACAGACACCTCTACCCACAGAATCTTTTACACACAGACGCTTTTACACACAGACTCCTTTACACA